CAAATTTTTTCCGACCGCTGCTCCATACATGTCCGATAGTCGTGTGACCACAGTCGCACGTCTGTTGTTGTACTTGTGTGGTTGACAAAAAAACGAAATAAAAATTCAATATCATATGCTGGGTATTGATCGCGATTGTGCAAATGGTTTCGTGAGGGTTTCCGATCGAAACACTCAAACGGGATACTGACAACGAAACACGATACTTGTGATTTGTGAACGTGCCTCAGCAAGTAAGATACTTACACATTTTATTTTGTCTAATATTAGATTTTGTGACATTTATTACAGTCAGTTATTGACGTTACATATATTAGGCTGTACTACTTTGCTATTTCAGTATTATTAATTACTATTTTTGCCAAAATTCAATAGATCATGGCACACTTGTCCGTGTCAGGCTAACAGTTAAAATAGTCATTAGCAAGTCATTTAAGTTTTTAACCAGTCATGTTATAAAATACTTAAGAATTTGCCAACACTTTTAGGCTAGCCAAGATGTAATTCTATAATTTGTTAATATCGATAGAATAAATAAGTATATTCTAAATTTTAAACCTACCTATTTGAACAACTAAATTGGTTGGTAAATTTATTAGAATGATTAATTATTTTCATAATTTTTCATATTTAGGTACCTAGTTTAAAATGTTTAAATTAATTATACTAATATATTAATAACTTACCAACAATATTATTTTTTAAATATTTGGACATTTTTTGATTTGTTTACCTTACTAGTTAATAATTATAGCTACCATGTATTATCCATGAAATATAGATGACCTAAATATCTTAAATTTTTGTGAAAATCAAAATAAGATTATTGCTTATAATTGTTCAATAAAAAAAAATTATTATTATTATTATTAAGTTTCAAAAAACAATAGGTAGATAATTTAGGTTTATTTAATTGATTAATGTTACAACAAAGTAATCAATGAAGATATTCATCTCAGTATTTATATTTCAGACAATATTCTGGATAATATTATACTTTTCAAAATCAACTGTTTGCATTGTAATTACATAACAAACTAATTACTAGTTATTCATAAGACACTTACTCCCTACGACCTATCTAGTACCTACCTATTCTGTTGAATATTGATAATATTTTTGTTTGTGCAATCAATTTTTATTTCTTTACCATTTATGATTTATTACCTGTAATATATATATATATATATATATATACATATATTTAAATCAATTCAATTAGGTACACGTGCTTGTAATTAAAATTATCTTATTAAACGCTAAACTTTATTTTTTTCTTTGTTTAAATACTCGATAATTTAATAATAATCATTCGCAATAATTTATTGGGTTCAAGTGGTACTGAATATATAAACATTTTATATTAACTTTAGATCTAACTAACAGAAATTCAAATAAATTCATTGATAAAAGTATACCTCAACAATTTTTATATCAATATTTAAAAATATATCGTTTCTTTAAATTTTATATAACAATTAGACTTTATTTAATTTATTGAGATTGAAAATAAATTAGGCATTGAGTGTTCCAAGTTAACATAAACACATGACAGTTTGATAGGGAATCGTTTTATTTTAGATATTCAAAAAGTTAAGCCATCAAGGTCCAAGGCATCGAGAGTCACCTACTTTTATTTTTGTGTATATTACGTTCTTATTTAATTACATAAAAAAAAAAAAATAAACAGTTTCTGATAATAGTCTTTCTTGTTTTTTAAATCAATAATTTGATGGCTGATTTCATGGATATTGGACGAGTTTTATTTTTATTAAATTGCTTTAAAACATGCTAGTAGTAAAATTTAAACTTATAAAAACAACATAGGTAACTAAAACTTTATAGGATTGTTAGGGAAATAATCACTGTGGCAACCATAGACATATTTAATACTGCTGTATTTGTTTCCGTTGGGAATATATTAATATCTCAAATACAGTTAAAATAGCTAAATGATACTTGGCACTTAAACATTTAAGACATTATTAATTATTAATCTTAATGTCAAAAATCTTAAATGATTATAAGTTTAAGTTTATTTGATGGGAAATCTGGGTAGAAGTCACCCTATGGAGTGGATTGATCCCCTTAGCCCCCCCCCCCCCCGTAAAAACGCCACTGGATATCATTACATTTATTGCCAGTTGCCACATATCTCCAATTACATAACATTATACTGTTTTATATATTTAAAAAAAATGGCAAATTTAAATGCAATACCTATTATTACCTATACTTACAAATTGAACAAATTAATATGCATTTTATTTCTATTATATTGATTACATTAATTGTGAAATAATAATAATAGGGACGATTAGGGGGTGTTTTTATGTCAAAAAATAATAATTTGTAGTTTTTTGTAGTGTCAGATGACCAACATCATTTAAATTTGTTATTGATAGGTATAAGTTGGCTGGGGGCCGATTCAACTTTGTACACTTCTTGTTTTTATAGTTTGTGCATAACTGATTTATACATTTCAGAGTTTTAGTGGTGTTTCTACAATATTTGTTCTTTAAGTAAAGTAAATGTAAATATATATTTTAGTTTTCTCAAATATTTAAGTATAAAATTAGTTGTTACAAATTATTTTTTTACATTCATCTGGTAGTTAAAAATTATACATGATCAAATTGTAATATATTTTATATTCAACATTGCAGAATTGTAGATAACTGCTTCTATAGTTTTATACAGTTTTATGATTATATATCTATTTATTTGCATGATTTTAATTGGTACATATTTTTTAGGTGCTTAACAAAATGGTTGTTCCAGAAAACGGAACTATGTGTGATAATATTATGCGAGGTATAGAAAAAAATGGTGGCGGTATACATTTGCATAATAGAAAACAAAAATTAAAACAAAAGTAAAGAAATACAAATATTATCCATGTTCATCGACATATTTTGACTGTAGTATATTTTATTGAATAATTAATTTCTATTTATAGATTTGATATACTGAAAAAACTTGGAGAAGGATCTTGTGGTAAAGTTCAATTGGGTATTTGTAAAGAAACTGAACAGCTGGTAAGACATAAATTAGTTAATAAATTATTTAATTATCTATTTTTATTATGTTAAAATAAGAGTTTCATTAACAATTTATAACTAACAAGTATTTTATTATATACATAAGTACACTGTATATAAATATATATCCTTTAAAACCTCTATTTCTGACATAAGCCAATAGTGCAATACCCACGGTACTCTACATTTTCATTCAACTTAATTTCAAAATCGTTATATTCATTATAAAACTATTATTATTTAATGAGTACATATATTTATTGTTATGATATTTTTATGTACTCAAACAGTTTCATATCCTTATTATTTGAGAAAACATACACCATGAAACATAGTGTTCCATAAGTCTAGAGTAATTTTAATTATTAGTTTTTTGAAAAAGGTCTGGGAATTACTATAAAATCTATTCATCATGTTAAAATATTAAATGTAACTCTTACCACTTAGCTTCAAATTGTTCTATGTTTTAAATAATCAATAAATATTAATTTTAAATATTATACTATATTTTTTTTTAGTTTTAATTTTTAATTTACTTGTTTATAGGTTGCTATCAAAACAATAAGGAAGCGGAAAATAGAGACTGAAGCTGATTTAATACGAATAAGGCGAGAAATACAAATTATGTCTTCTGTAAAACATCCTAATATCATTCATATATATGAAGGTAGTTAATTTATACAAGTAGATTACATTTTAGTTATAATTCAGTGGTAGCAAAACTATCATATTTACATGACTTAAAAGTTAATCAAGAAAAATTTATTGGAATTTGTACATAGCATTCATATAATATTTTTACCAAATGGATATGGATGTTGATATATTTAAAATAATAGTTGAATTAATTCTCTAAGAACAAATATTTTTTGGTAGATTCTCACTAAAAAAAAATCTGTACACCCAATTAAATTGATTTTTAAATATATTTTGTTAATTCGTATTAATATTTTATTTTTAGTAGTTGAAAATCGGGAAAAAATTGTCTTAGTAATGGAATTGCGGCTGGGAGGCGAACTTTATGATTTTCTCAGTGAGAAAAATTTCTTACTGAGGAGAAGCTAGAAGAATATTTAGACAAGTGGCTATTGCTATTTTTTACTGTCATAAGGTGAATATTTTAGTTTACAGTTAAATATTATTTGATTGTGATTTTCAGTAATAATAATATATTTTCATTTATTAGCATAATATTTGTCATCGTGATCTCAAATTGGAAAACATATTATTGGACGAACAAGGAAACGCTAAGGTGTGTTGCTAAAAAAGATTTTTAACCAAATTTATTTGGTTATAACTTAAATATTAAATTATAAATAATATGAAATCAGTAAATATGAGAGTTCCTAGTGATGATTTCTATTCTTCACATTGATATATGTTTTAAAATTTTATTTTAAAAATTCCCCATATTTGTTTACTGTTAGATTGCTGATTTTGGGTTGTCAAATGTTTTTAATCACAAAGCACTTTTGTCGACATATTGTGGTAGTCCATTGTATGCATCTCCAGAAATTGTTACTGGTACTCCTTATCATGGCCCCGAAGTAGATTGCTGGTATGTTGCTAAAGAATAAACCTACTAAAATATAAAAATACTAACTATAATAACAATGCATCAAAATTTATAAAACAATTTCATTTAAGGTCTTTAGGTGTTTTATTGTACACTCTAGTGTATGGCACAATGCCATTTGATGGATCAAATTTCAAACGCCTGGTTAGACAGATTTCTCAGGGCGATATATGAACCAAAAAAACCATCAAGTGAGTAAACATTTTCGTAGTACTTGATGTATATATCACAATTATGATTCTATTTTCCAGGAGCTTCTCCTTTGATTCGTAGTATGATGACAGTAAATCCTAATACACGTGCTGATATACGAATAATATGTTCACATCAGTGGTAAATGAAGGTTTTCTGATGGAAATCAATGTTTGCGAATTGCAGAAGAAATGGCTTCCTCAGCTCCAGTTAGATTAGACTTGTTACTATCCTTAGCACCTACTCCCAAGGAAGCCAATAATAATTTAGATATTCCACCTTCTCAAAGTAACGCTGAAAATGATGTACGATCTGAGACGGGACCTGTAAGGTCTCAAAGTTTAGGAAGTATATCTCCATCGCGTGCTACTGCTGTAACACCCGATTCACCTGGTAAGTATTAATAAAAAGTCATATTTGTAATTGTTTTCAAATATTTCAGTAAAACTAAAATAATCAATTATATGTTTAGTGGAGAAAAAACCTAAGAAATTAAAAAAAAGAGATCGTTCCATTAGTCGTTCTAAAAAATCTAGTCAGTCTGATACAGGTGAAAATGATCTCGAAATTCCAACTTCTAAAGAATCATCTAAATCTATTAAAAATAATTCAAAGAGTGATCTACCGCAATCTCCATTACAATCTACAACAAATAGTGAATCTGACGTAGTAAAACCTGTTGAACGAGCCCGGCGACGATCTAGTAGAGTTTTAGAAGCTGTAGAAAAGTTAGATCAAATTGAATCCATGGCCAAAAATAATTTTGATCAAAAGAGAAGAAGTTCTCTTGGCAGTGGCTCATCAAATAGTTCCAAAAAGAGTATTGAGTCTGATGGGTCAAATTCTCGAGAACCAACAAAAGAACCACAATTCAGTTTAGAGTCTACAGTTGGTCTAAATAAATTAGCTGAGTCAGCATTAAATAATGAACCAATTTGTGGAACACGTTCAAACAAAAATGATTTTAAAAATCTTCCTGATGATTTGAGAAAGAGCTTAAATGCTATCAGGGTAAATATATTAATTAAATTCAATAAATTGCCTGTAATATTATGTAAAAAGTTCATTATTCTTATTTATTTATTTAAAAAAATAAACTTTTGGCTTATATTTCAAAAATTAAATAATTTTAAAACTTTTTAATATACAATTAGCACTTACTAATTATTAATTCAAAATGTTTAATATAGAATGATTTGTTTTTAAATGTTGATTTTAATTGTAGCTTCTAAAGGCTTTTATGGTTATGTTTAGATAATTGGAGATTCCATTTCTGACACTAATACAAGTAAAGTGGCTGAACCAAAGAGGAAAACATCAAGAGCTGAAATAAAATTAGCTAAGCCTGAGTAAAAATAATGAAATCATACTATTTTAAAATTAATGTATGTGAAGTATAAATATTTATTTCATTTTAGGTTACCAGTTAGTAGCGTCGTTAATGATTCTAAAGTTCAAGATAATGGTGCAATAGATACAAATTATAAAACCGAAGTAAAACATTTTGTTCAAGTGCCTAAACCAACTAGACGTATCACTGAAGTATCCTTTCCGGTTGCTGGAGCTACTCCAACTGCAGTGGCACCATTACCGCCAAGGTAGAATTTATTTACATAGTTATTTTTTAAGCATATTTGAAAAATTTTTTCATGTTCATTAATCACCATGTATTTTATAATGTATGGAATAACTTATTCAATCTAGTATTTTGTTCTACTATACAGTTATTATTTTTTTTTTTTAACTCTTTGAGGGGCCGTGGTTAGTATGCTAACCACTTTTTTTTTTACCGTTCAGGTGCGGTGGTTACTATTTTAACCACTTTTAAAATTATTTTTAATATTTTTTGAATAATGGTCAGCATACCAACCACCTTATTATCATCTAATACATGCATCAAACAATATCACTGCCACTGGTCTGATATTATTTCCCGCGTTTTTCATCATTTATTATCATTATCAATATTTTGATATACGTACTAAATGTTATGGTAAAGAGACATATTGCCCACATGGGCTTTTTTTCCAAAGGAAATTTTCGCCCCTCAAAGAGTTAACTGTTGAATAACTTATTTTTTTTTTTGATAGACATATCAAATTTTAAAAAAAGTCTTTCCTAAGCCTTATTATTTTAAAATTAATTTTAGACCTGTTTTGAGACAAAACAGTCAACTTCGTGAACACATCATACCTATAAGGTTTGAAGTAGAAGATAAACCAAAACCAAAACCAGTTCAAAGAGTTTCATCTGTCACTAGTCCCAGGACCAGTTGCAGTAATTTATCACGACAGAGTACAGTGGACACAGATAGTAATAGCAGTATTGCAAGCTTAGGAGAGCCAATAAGAAAGTCTCCCCGTGAAGTTATTATACCCATTGCGGTTGAAGGTGGAGGTTTTGTTACGCCTAGTAATAGTACACTTTCTAGAACAAAGTAAGTTATAAATCTTTTAACAAACACATATTTCTAATTCAATATAATCAATTGTTTGTCTTAGTTCAAATAGTGATAAGGGTGATGATGATAATGGTACTGTTGGTGGTCAGCCTAGATGTTTCACATTGCGCAGCACACGCAGACAAAGGCCTTCTATGAGAAATTTACAATCAACTGAAAGTATAAGTTCAGATGAGGAGGATGACAGTTTTGAAATCTTAACTGCTGAGAATTTATTCTCTACATTACTATCCAGAGTAAAGAACATTCTTTGAATTTATAAAATTTAAATTAATTTATATACATTTATATTTTACGTATACTTAGGTACGGGATTTAACAAATCGATTGAGCAGTGATGAAGGAAGAACATCTGACTTTCCAAGATCATTTTTCAATCATCATCGTTCTATATTTGACCACCAAACACCAATGTATGTTTTTCTTAGAACTTATATTCTAATTCAATTTCATGTTTGTGACATTATTTTATAGTCGCCGTCTAACTGAAACTCGATCATTTAATCGGTCAGACAGTGCCCCATGGAGAAGAAGTTTTGTTTCTACCACTCAAGATACTCCTCCATCTAGTGCTTCTACTAAAGGTAAACTTATATCTTTATAACTATGGGCTTCAAAAAGTTGGTTTTATTATTTATTCGTAATAAAGAAAAATATAATCTGTTGGCAATACTATTTAGCTACAATATTAATTTGTGTTTTTGTGACAGTAGCATAGAACATTAATGGTGTGTAGGCCTTCTTACATAACATTAATTGTACCTTATCAAGAAATATGATAATCAATGCTTTATTCAATACACACTACACAAATAAAAACACTTTCACATCTAACTACTTCTATACTCCATTTACATTAAGAAGAAACGTCGGCTGCCAATTTGTGCGCAGGGGTGCACTGGCTTCATCGCACATATGGTTGACAAACAGATATTGCCTAACCCCTGCATGACGAGAACCGCCGAGGTTCCTTCTTAATATTAATGGAGTACATAGTATTGTTTTTTATTCAAAGAAGTAAACATTAATTTAATGTTGCTAAACTGATTTATGTATTCACAAAGTAGGTAATATTTGGGTATTTAATAAATTTATGTTCATAAATAATATATAAATTAATTTACTAGGTAAAGCAATTGTATATATTTATTGTTTTATAACTTTACATTCTAAACCATACATTTAAAATTAAATAAATAATAATTAAAGTTAATTACAATAGGTATGTATTTATAATTTTGTTTAAAAAAATGTTATGACTACTGTCACACTTTATTTTGTAACATTTTGAATACATATTGATTCATAAATAAATATTTGTATACTCAATTCAGAATAAGAATGGGCTGACTGACAAAACACGTCAAAACTGCTCATTTATCCTTACTACGGGCACTCAATGTCTCAATGTATATAAGGAAATAGATAGCAGTGATGGAGTAAAAACGGAAACAATCATTGCCAATTTCCGGACTTGTGTGTGGGGGGGGGGGGGTGAGCAATGTTTGTGGCTCAATCAGGCATGCGTGAAACTGGGATTCTTACTCTGAATAAAGTATAGATTATGTAAATTAACTTTTTAAAATTGTAATTCTTTGTAAGAGTGTACATTATTGTCTATAGATATTTTAATAAGTTATTAAATTTCAAATACCAAGTACATAATATTATTATAATCCTAACTTATTATTTAACCGTGAATCTTGAAAACAAATATTTTTAATTTCTATATTAATTTGTTATGCCAACGGACATATTATTAGGATAAATATTTCTTTAACATATTTATAATTTTACGACTTCTATTAAAAAAAATATTTATTTCAAAGTTTTAATCTATTCTTTCTTTCATAAATATTAAATATATTTATAATATAATTAAATATTTTTCTTCTAGTCTTCAATATTTTTATGAAGTTAGGTGTGTAAGTATATACCATCTAATCATTAATATATTTTATAAAATTAAAATTAAAATGCTAAACATAATATTGGTTTTAATGTTCACTTTTAACTATTAATATTTAAAAAAGTGAAATCAATTGACGCATAATGTTATAAGTTATTATGTATTACTATATTTGTTGATTTGTTTAATTTAATTGCGGCTTTATATCAGTTCAAAAATAATTATGATTAATTAAGCAATAAACAAAATAATTAAATATATTATAACTTATAACTTAGTATTCAAGGAAAACCTTTTAACAAAGTAAACATCAATTAGAACCAGTACTCTGAACTGTATGTACAATCAATATTTGTAAAAAATATTTAATTAATATAAAAAATAATAATTTGTGAGAATAAACTTTAGTCAGTGGAGTTTTTTCATTAAAATAGATTCATATTTTTTACACAACACAACATACTAGTATAACTATAAGATTGTGCTGGAGTATTGCATGTGTGTGTTTTATTTTGTTGCAGCCAATGTGACGGTGCATGTGCCACGTGTACAAGATGAGTAATAATGATACTTCCTTCTGCCTGTCCATAATTTAAACCAAAAACAAATCTATACATATTACCTATGCCACAAATCTATAGGTACGCAACTGTCTCTCTCTTTTTTCTTAGTGATACTAACACGATTTTCTTGTAAATAAAATTGTTTGACTGGGTATTTATGTGACTTTGACGTTGTTCGTAACTAGTGTTTGCCAATTGTTTGTTTTTCAGAACTGCTTAGAAATGCTGATAAAACGACTAATATTCAGAAACCACCGGTGTACAAGCACATTCTGCCTCGCGTTCTGGAAACCACAACTAATAATGATTACTTAAACTACCGTGACAAGATCAACGCAACAAAACTGCCGATGTCACCGCCTCCAAAACATATAACCCAGCCAACTGTGTACGAGATGCCTTCTGAGCCTATCAAGGAACGCAAGTCTTGTGTGGACCGAATTTTAGAGAAATACCGCCGCCAACCGTCCAACTCTTGTTCCAGACAATTTTCAAGATCGTTAAGCTGCAATGCTTCTACTGAAACTGCGTCATCGACTGAAAATAACTTGTTGCTGCAATCAACGATGATGGCGGAATCTGGAGGTAACGAGGAAAATCCAAAAAGTTCAGGGCCTCGTAGTGTTAGCCCATATGCACTTTTCGACCGTTCAGATGTGACCTCTGCTACAACTACTGCTTCCCGCCAAGATTTCAAGGCAAATTCTGAGAACGGCCTCTTGTCTAAATCGTATTCGTTGAAGAGTTTGGGTGAATACCGAACGCGAACTTCGAGCAGTATACCGTTGTCTGTTGACCGTAGATCGACACCAAAATTTAATAGTTCAAGCATCAATAACGATGAAGACCCACCGTCGTCTTCATCGTCATCATCCGCTACTACTGCTACCACTTCTTCCAAGAGCTTGGTCCCAAAAGAAGACAACAATCATTATTATCACCACGGTTCGCCGGCCTTACTGGACTGGACAATAGGAAATTGCAGTGAAGAGACGGTCAGCGATCGTATCAGGCGGCGCAGTTACTATGTTAAACTCAAATAGTTTTGTTTTGAATTCAAGCTTTCGTAACAAATTGTCATTGTATCGGTTACCAGTATATGTATAGAGTTTTCCCGATCTGTATTTGCCTAATATATAAACATACGCGAAATATATCTGGTCGCGTCAAACTACAAGGAAATCACAGAATAACAAATATTATACCCTAGTTCGTTAGTTATTTATTTATTATTATTATATATATAGTTATATTATATTGACATTTAAATGTTGATAATTCAACGTAATAAACATATTATATTGTATTTAAATTGTTTTGTAATCTAATAACAGTATTACTAACATTTATAGGATTCAGATAACAAGCATAATTTATGTTTTATTGGACATTTAAATGTAATATATTATTGACATTTTTATCACAAAATAATTTAGAAACAATTGACTTAAACTATGATTTATGATGTTTTTATATAATAATATGGTATATTCAGTTTGTTTATATATGTATAAGAATATTTTGTTTGGGAAAGTGGAAATAATACACTTAGAAACTCTACACAAACGGTCTCTCCTACGACTAAATAAATCATTTTCAATTTTCACTCAGATTTATACTGTCTACATTAATTTGTTGTAATTTCAAATTTACTTCAAAGTTCAAACCAATAGAATTCTTTGGGATGTATTTAATTCTGAGGAGTGAGAAGAGTGTGGAGTAAGGAACCCATAGGAAATTACCAACAGAAATAGTATAATACTATTAAATACCTAGAGAATTTTATTTAAGTGGACGCTACACGGCCATTTGTTGTCTCCGTCTTACAAGTGCGAAACACAGCAAATTTACTTACATTTTCAATTTTTTTAGTTTATATTCTAGAATTTTCAATAACAATTTATTTGTTGGGTCAAAAAGCACGGAAATCTAATACAAGGCTCCTGACAGTGGCGTATTTACGGGGGGGGGGGGGGTCCCCGGGTCTGGACCCCCCCCCCAGAAAAAAATATAATATAATATAATTATTACATCGTAACTCGTATGTGTTTTTTTTATATTATAAACTTGTAGGTACCTAATATTTAGACCCCCCCCACAAAAAATTTCAAAATACGCCACTGGCTCTTGATATATTGATATTTGAAAAGGTATGGTAAGTACACTTACATAATATTTACTACACTCATTTTCTGTTCCTACCAATAAGACAATTTTTCTGGAGTTCATTAATTTTGAATCAATTATCGTAGACGGTAATAGAAGTTTGCCCACAAATTGAAAGACCCGTGAATTAGAAATGTATTAACGTAATGGACAGTGCAATTATTTTTGACCGGGGCGCTGCAAATTCTAATGACCTGTACCACGGCTTACTAGAAAAGTCTAATAAAATAGTTATACTTTTCAATGTGGCAAGCTGTAGCGTGCAAATTGCACTTGAAATTAATCTATAATCGCCACATAGGTACGCATATTTATTATTCAATTATTATTTAGTATAATACGTATGTATGTAAAAAGTGTTCAGGTGTTCTTGTACATTATAATATATAAATATAAAAACTGTAGTATCAAGTATGTCAATATGATCATAATTAATAATTCATATTAGCTGCACGACACCTAATGTGTAAATATTTATATTTCAATACATAAGCTTACAAGGTATTTGGAATTTTACTCACACATTCAACTCCACGTAAGGAAGTTTTTTTGGATCTTATAATTTTTAAATGGATAACTAATATCATTGAACCAATACTGAACTGAAGTTGGAGAATTTAAAAAGTAAATTTGGTGAAAGATAAGTTCTAATGGACCTAATCAGTAGAAAAAATATTATTTGGCGATCAGTAGAATTTAATTGAGTATGAAACGAACCAATGGCGTAACTAAAACTTCCAATGCCTGTGGACAAATAATTCAGAGGGCCTTTTATTTTACAATACATTCCCTGCAGAGTCATCATAATCATAATTTTTATTTGTAAATGTTTTGATTAGAATCATGAACCTAGATAGTTCATAGTATTTTAGTTCTGGATTAGAAATTCTATATTTTTATTTTTATTATTAAAATATCGGGAGTGGAGAATCGATATGAAACATTAATTAGATTTCAAAATTATATTATAGAGAGCCAATATTTCATAAACACCACAGATAGGTAGTAGGTACCTCTCTATACATATTAAAATAGATTGGGCGACTCTTGTTAATGGTTGAAGTCAAAATCCATTATTTTGTGGGAATTATAAGTTTTGACATAGAAAATTCTGACCTCAGCGCTGTTGCTTACTTTCATACTATCAAAAATAAAAAAATGCTTACTAATTAGATTACAATTATTTGTATATTATTATAAATATGATCATATTTTTTTAGGTTTTCATCCTGTCAATTTAATGAGATGAATACAAACTTTTTAAATTAAAATATCTAAAACCAAAAATTATATCTTGAGTGTTAATTTAGATTTGTATTTTATATTGTGAGATTTTTTTGTATTGAGCTAGGTATATTTAAAAATAGCCGTACACCCTGCGAAAAAAATCTGCACATACCAATAATAGCCTGAACTACCTAGTACCTACAACATGCTTTTTGAATTATAATCGTATAACACAGCTGATTTTTAAACCAGATTAGGACACGGTAAAATAATATTTGTCTGAAAAGAATGTACAGTCTACATTTTAGACAAAAGGATAACCTAACTTAACCGTTCCACAATTATTACAATATCGACAACGTAGACGAGATGCTATAACAGATAAAATAATCTATAAAATATAACCGTGTCAGTCATTATTCTAAATGGTAAATGTATTCATTTTCAGTGATTTAATTTTTTTTTAAAGAACATCTTATATTTTAATTTTATAATAATGGTGATTTGTGACATTTCTTAAAGGGGCCACTAAAGTCACGGGCCCGTGGAGCATTGACGTCATGCCACTCTATCGGTACGCCACTGAAACGATCACATTATTTAAAAAAAAAATATTACTCCACTAATAATAATTACTACATTAATTATTGATTAACAAATACAACCTTTTATTGCTCTAATATAGGTACATTACAATTTAAAATATCATAAGAATTTTTTTAGGTAAATAAATATTTAACATTTTTATTGTCCAACAAAAATATATTTTTTCCCTTGTACTAAAAGTGAAACAGTAGTAAATTTTAATATTAAAGAGTCTTAGAGCATCTATTCCATACACAAACATATCTAATAAAAAAATAATGAATATAATAAATGGACTTAATATTTTAGTAAATGTACAGTTTGAAATTTAAGAATTATAAATAAATAGGTACATTTTCATAATTTTATCTTAAATTTACAGCTGGTCCAATGTTCATGTGTTCTAAACTCTGAAATGGACTTACTCCTCTAATTGTAGTCTCAAGTGGTTTTGAATAAACATCACCGGCAAGTTCAGACAATGGAATTTCCGTATCTGCTTTTGCTCTCTTCACAGCATCGTCAATTTGAGCTTTAATTTCACTGTCAATTTTCTAAACAATAATAAATTTATTATTATTATAAAATATTATGGACATATAATATATGTTTACTTAAAACACCACAACACTATTGTTTAAAAAAAGAATAATAAAAAAGATGTTGAAAAACAAGGTGGTACAACTAGTGTACAGATAGGTAGTAATGACAACTCTAATAAAAATAAGGAAAGTGCTTTATAGAACAAAACTTTTAAATTATTACCGTAGTACCTACCATTTAGTGTTTAATATACCTGCTTAAGTTTAGATTAGCATATTTACCGTTAATTCATCAATATTAACTAAATTAGCTCCTATGATTTTTTCTTTGAACGATGTTATTGGATCTCTAGTTTGACGCACTTCTTGAACTTCATCACGAGTTCTATAAGATGTTCCTGGGTCAGACATAGAGTGTCCAGAGTATCGGTAAGTTTCTGTTTCCAAAACTAGTGGTCCTTTACCACTAGAACAATAATCTATGGCAAAACGAGCAGCTTCTCTGACAGCCAAAATATCCATACCGTCCACCCAGATACCAGGAATATAATCTCCTCGTGTATAATATGCTACACTAGCAGATGCTCGGCTGGAGCTAGTTCCCATGCCATAGCCATTATTTTCACAAACATACACACAAGGTATATCCAACAATTTTGCAATATTGAAAGCCTCAAATACTTGTCCTTGATTAGCAGCTCCATCGCCATACAAGGTAAAACACACACCGCCAGTACCTGAATATTTAGCAGCTAATGCTATTCCAGTACCGAGTGGTACCTAACAATAAAATAATTATTAAATAGAGTGTATACAAATTACAATAACAATATTGAAAGTTTTTTTGTATTAGAAAATATAAATGTAAATACTGCTTAAATTCTAACTGTACGAAAAACAGAATAATGGATTTACCTGTGCTCCAACAATTCCGTTGCCTCCATAAAAGTTTTTAGCATACATATGCATAGAACCACCTTTACCACGAGAACTTCCACTCTTATGCCCAGTTAATTCTGATAATACATTAAAAGGATCCACACCCATAAGGTATGTCCAACCGTGAGCACGATATGCTGTAATTATTGAATCAGTATCACGGAACATAGCTTTCATTCCTACAGCACATGCTTCCTAGAAACAAATTTTACACAGATACACACTAATTATTTTAAATCAGCAAGCAATCTAAATTAAATAGCAATAAAGCATGAAAACTATTGATAACGTAGGTATTGTTTCAATTTTATATTTTTAACGAATTATTAAATTACCTGTCCAGAGTAGAGATGACAAAAACCTCGAACTATTTTTTCCTTGTACAAATTACCTGCAGCTGTTTCCATTCGTCGAATAGTTTGCATTTGTTTATAATATTTAATAGCATCTTCTGAAGACAAGGTGACGGTTGGACTTGGACCATTTTCAAGTTTATGCAACTTAAATGGCTAAAAAATTATATGGTAAATGTAACAATATTTTTGGTGAAAATATCAACTATTTCAATCTAATCATAAAATTTC